GTTTTTTTTTTGCTGGCTAACTGAAGAGTCTCACAAACTTTTCTGCTGGGCTAGCTTTGAATCTTGATACTCAGATCTCAGCTTTTGGAATAGCTAGGGCTGTGGATGTGAGCCTCCAGCACCTGGCTTCTTATTCCCTTATGTAGTTCCACTAAATAAAATGAGGAAGATCTTTGTCCCATTAATGTAGAAAGTTGCTTCAGGGAAGCACTGTGGTTTCACTCAGGTAAATGTCACTCTGAGCTCTTCCATAATCTGCCCTAAGTTTAAATCCACGCTGGCTGTCCCTAGCTGCACTGCACATACCTTGTACACAATGATTTTGCTTTTCTGAGGAGGAGGCTATAAGGACATTGCATCTACCCCTTTATCAAATCTTTTAATTCAAAGGAAATTTGAGAGGAGGCAGGGTTCTAAGAGTGAAGTACCTTTTTCAGCTATAATGATAGATGATGTGTGAAAATATGTCACAAAAAGAATAAAAGAATAGAATTTGGTTCATGTTTGCTTCTTCTACAGATGCTCATATCTCCTCTCTGTGTCTGTGTCTGTCTATCTGTCTCTCTCTCTCTCTCTATGTCTCTGTCTCTCTGTCTCTCTCTCTCTCCCTCTGTCCTGGGGTTGGAACTAGCTTTGTGTTTGCTAGGCAGGTGCTCAACCACTTGAGCTATGCTCTCAGACCTGTTCAATTATTTTTTAGATATAGGCTCATACTTTCTTCCTGAGTCAGCCCTGAAACACCATACTTCCACCTTCACCTCCCAGATAGCTAGGATTAGAGACAAGAATAATCCTGACAGACTGGTTCATTAAGATAGTATTCTGCTGTTTTTGCACAGATTAACTTCAAACAAAAATTCTCTCATTTCTGCCTCTAGGCACTTCTGATTACAAGCATGCTCCATAGCACACTTATTTCCTCTTTTAATGACATTGTAGTCAGAGAAGTTTGATTAATTTACAACAGTTTGAAGTATTAATTTCTTTATAGTAGTGTAGTATGGCTACTTAAATACACAAAGAATTAGTCATTTGGAATTGAAGATATCTAAACAGGATGGGTAAGAAGACTTGAAGAGAAAGATGTAAGTTAAGAATTGTTTTGTGCTCTAGAGGTTTAATGCTGGTTCTAAAACAATCATCCATTCCCTTCAAAGTACTGCACCAAACAGGTGTATTAAGAAAGTGAGAAGATGAAGAATACTAGCTATGAATGCCTCATGTTGAAATTAACGTTGCTAAAATTCAAGTCTTGTTAGATCAATGAAAACACTGTACCTCCACTTTCCTCGCTGCAGGATATTAAGGCACTTAGGCAAATATCTCTTTCAGAGTATAACTTCAGTGCATAATTTGGAAAGGAAATCCATCATCTAGTTCTTTTCTACTTTCTCTGGATTTTTTTTTGGCATTTTCAAGCATAATGCTTTACCTAAAAACCCTTCAACACACATATTATAAGATTTCAGGAATTAAGGCCATATTCTGAGACTTCTACCTATTAAAAACAATCAAGCTTAAGTAACCAATTTAGGTAGCCTCAGAATAGGTAGCTACTGGGTTCGAGAATTCTCACTAGTATTGTTCTAGAGGATTCTGAAGAGTGACAGTGGGTGTTTTCTGCCACCATTATCCCCACCATTCTGTGGAAATGTCAGGCAGAAAATCGACTAAAGAGACCCAATATAAAGTTAGAAACTTGCCCAAAACTCTAAAGTATTATTTCTGATGCATTATTCTTAAGCTACAAATACATTTGTCTAAGACTCTGAAGTATTAGTATCAAAAGGAATGACATAAATTGGTGACACATAAGTATATCTTAAAATGGAGGTCAAATTAAGGATGACATGTACTCAAAATGGTTTATATGTTTCATCTTTTTGGGAAAGGGGGAAAATGTGGTTCTGCTAGCACTTAGAGGAATTACTTGTTCTCAGGTCACAGATCAGCCAACAACCAGAATCAAAGCCTGAAAACTCTTCCATCAGACACAAGCGCTCTGCAGGGTTGACTATGGAGGGAAGGAAAGTGTGGGACAAGCCAGGTGGCAGTGGATCTTGCCTTTCATCCTAGCTGCTCAGGAACATTACAGTTCAAAGCTAGCCTACACAGACAAGTCTACAAGTGTCTACTTCCAATTCACCATCTAAAAGCGAGACTTGGGGAATGGTTCAAGTAGTAGAGAGCCAGCCAGGAGCTGAGAGAGTGTTAGTTGAAACCGTGGCATCACAAGATGGATGCAAAATCTGCTTGTGGTACCAGTTTCTCCATGGCTATTTCTATCCCTCAGACATCATGGAACCATACATAGAGCAGAGTTTGAGAAAGTTCACCATCACATTTCAAATCAATGGGGTGACTAGAAACTGACAAAAGACGAGACACACCAGTGCCGTATGCTATTTGATTCTTTCTAATAAAAAGTGAGAACCGTCTATCAACTCTGTAAAATTTAAAGACAATGTGGGATGCATGTTGTTGCTTTCTAATTTGAAAAAGATGAAGGTACATTTTAGCTTGCCTGACATATGCATATAACGCACAGAATACCCTTGCCCCAATTCTCCTAGGTTCTGACTTTTCCTTTCTGGATTTTCTTAACCACTAGTTGGTTTGACAAGTTCAAACCCATGGACTACTGGTACTATAAAATTCTATCCATCAAAATCTCCTAACGCAGCTCTGATATTCTCACTAAAAAATCATGAGAGCAAATAAACAGCTCATTTCTCTTCAAGCAAATTGGCAACTGTGTGTACTTAAGGTGGAAATAGTTCTCTGTTAATTAACCTGTTAGGTGAAATATTCCGATTCTCAAAAACTCCCAGAGGATGAAGTACAGAGAAGCACTTCTTAGCCCTTAAGCTAAACCATCAAAGTAGATTATATGAGAATCCTTTTGTCTTATTCAACACAGTCTGTAGCACACAGGATAATGTACTACTTACAATGCTTCAATTGTGACACAGTGGAAAAATGACTTCTTTCTGAGAACATTTTCAGCCTTTGGAATGTCTTTGGTCTCTCAGAAAGTCAAAGGAAATCTACTATTGTTTGCTTGCCTGAGTTTATGCCCATTGTGTTTAAACAGAATAAGCTCATTTTCAAATTTCTTTCCATGGAATGCAAAACACTAGCTGAGCTAAATCATTGTGCTAATCTTAAAGAGAACTTTGGTGATTGCAGCAGAACTGGCTAGTGTTGTTATTATATTAAACCATGTTCACCATAACAGGTCTAAGTGTTTTAAACTTGTCTCATGGTGTTCTCTTCAATGAAGTCTGAAGCTACATAATCACTTACAGCTTTTTTTCCCCCTGTATTTGTTGAGTGTGGCTCTGTCCTTGAGCTTTTCTCCTCAAGGCTAGTGATCTACCACTTGAGTGACAGCTCCACTTCCAGATTTGTGTGGCTAACTGGAGTTAAAAGTCTTAGGGAATTTCCTGCCTGGGTTCGTTTTGAACAGTGATCCTGCTAGTATTCAAAGCATGACCCACTGGCTCCTGGCATCTTATAGCTCTTAAAAAGAACCGTTGTCTCCTTCCTTCCTTCCTTCTTTCCTTCCATTCTTCCTTCCTTCCTTTCTTCCTTCCTTCCTCCATTCCTCCATTTTCTCCTCCTCCTTTCCCTTTGGCTGAACATTCTTGTCCTGTTCCCCCTTTTTCTCCTCTTGCTCCCTTCTCCTACTCCCAGAATGCTATCATATCATGCAGAGGAACAGCACAGAGTCACCTTTTCTGTGCTAATTAATTTTGAATATTCACAATTACTAGACAAAACCAGTAGGAAAGAAAAGCAAAATAGTCACTTGCCTTGATATCCCTCCCTCTATCTGCCTATCTGCCTTCTGTGTAGTCTCCCTGATCCTTCTCCTGGAGCTCCTGGAAGAAGTACTCTGGGTTTGTGTTGACTGAGTAACTGACATAGGCAGGTGCATTAAGTTAGATTTTGTGGTTTTACCTCCAGCCCAACAGGTAATACAGAGAACAGGGTGTGGAATCGTGATATTGAACTAGGCCTCATGAACATTGTCCAAAAGTATTCTTTGAAATCATTTTAAAGATTCACTGTTGTCATTATCTGTGTGTCAATATGAGAAAAAATGAAGAACAGAAGGGACACATTGAGGATCTGGGAGAAAATTATTATGGAACAGGGCATTTTTTAATGATTCCCTTCCAAAGATCTTTAAGTATAGTCTATCCTAAGCCCATTCTTTATTTCTTTTATTCCTTTTTGCTGCTGCTTCTTGTTCTTCTCATTTTTCTTTTCTTCTTCTTGTTTCTATAGTTAACGAATTCTCTCTCTCTCTCTCTCTCTCTCTCTCTCTCTCCCTCACCATTCTAGTATTGCGATTCAGCTCAAGTCTCACATTTCCTAGGCAAGTACCATTTGAACAATGCCTCTAGCACATTCTTGGCTTGGGTGTGTGTGTGTGTGTGTGTGAGTGTACGCACGCATGTGTGTGTAAATTTTCACTTTCTCCCTTTATTCCTTAATTACCTCTCACCCTAACACCACTGAACCTCCTGGTAGTTATTTTGATAAACAGTTTGTTGGTTTGGATTAATTTTGGGAGTGTCTGATTTTATGACCAGCCTGGATTGTTATTCTCCTGTATTTCCTTTTGTCACTAGGCTGAAAAGCAAGTGCCATTGTGCCCAGCCCGAGTGCTTTCTCCGTAGTTTGGGATAACAGGCTTACACCACCTCACCCATTCATTGTTGAGATGGGAGTATTATGTATTTCTATGCTCAGGCTGGCTTTGAATTACAGTCCCTTAATATCTGTTTCCCAAGTGGCTAGTATTATACTTTATGGATCCCTGACTGAATTTTAAAGCCTACTTGCACCTTTAATTTTGTATAGTTACTAATTTTAAAGTACAGAACTCAGGGTCTTCAATGGATTTAGCATTCAGTACCCGTTACTAGACACTGGAGAGTCCTGGATTCTGTGTAGCTCTTTACATTGTCACTTAATGATGTCTTCTACAGGGAACTGAGCCTGATGCCTCAAGACACAGGGACTGAGAGCCTGAGGTATTTCAGATGCTCACAAATCCCTGCCATCAGGAAGGCTTACTGGATTCCACCCATAAAGTAGTACTTTATGGAACTCGGAGGAAAGGAACTAGACCTACTCAGGATCCCACGATTTTTTCAACTCCCTGACTCCACAAAAGCAAGCAGAAAACTCAGAGCCAGTAACAGCTTTCTCCTTGGGGGTCCAAAATCCCAAAATGTTTGGTAAACACCTCTATCTTTATGTTGACTCATTTTTTTTTTGTTTGAATGACAAGAAACGTTTGTTTACTTACAAACGAAGATATCTACATACTTATACTCCCAGCCCAAAGCTGATGTTCAAACCTCAATAGCTCTCTCCTATTGCATCCATGTTTCCTTATTCACTAACTTCCCTTGTAAAACCTGCATTATTTTGTTGGAATTATTTAAAATTGTATCATTTTTGTTTTATATTATTATACCTGGTAAAAATCATACTACACAGCAATTGAGAGGATGGAATACTTTATCATTCACAAATATTTCCTTTCTAAATATTAGTCTATCCTCTGGTTTGATTCAAGAAATGCAGATTTGAGAAGGTATAACTTGCATTCAATTTTTTTATGCATGTACTGGTATTGGGAAATGCAAATGTTTTTAAGTTCTGAAACTAATGTCATTTAAAATTGTGAAAACAGGGCTGGGAAGGTGGCTCAGTGGTAGAGTGCTTGCCTTGCACACCTGAGGCCCTGGGTTTTATTCCTCAGCACCACATAAGCTGAAAAAGCCAGAAGTGGAGCTCTGGCTCAAGTAGCAGAGAGCTAGCCTTGAGCTAAAGAGCTAAGGGACAGTGCCAGGCCCAGAGTTCAGGCCCCACAACAACCAAAACTAAATAAAACTAAATAAAAAATGTGAAGACAGAATGGGGAGCACTATGAGGAATTCCTACAAATGCTGTACAGGAGGCTCCTGGTGGTAATCTTACCTGTTCCACAAAGGAAGATGCAGAAGATCATACTTCAAGGCCCACCCAGACAGATAAGCTAAGACATTCTAACTGCAATTAAACATCAAAAAGCTGGACTGGAGACATGGCTCAAGTGGTAGACCACCGGCCAATCAATCAAGCAAGGATGAAGACCCCTGAATTCAAACCTTTGTACTTACTTCAAGTTACTTCGTCTCCCATTGTGGGTGATACTGCAAGCATAACGTGGTTCAGTGAGGAATTAGGACCACCAGAGCCTGCTAGGCTGGAGTTTTTGTGCCAGTTTTCACAAGTGTGGCAGTGTGAAAACACTATGTGAGTCACTACAGCAGGCCTGCTGGGGAGTAATGGCAGGGTTCACTGCAGGCACAGGTGATGTTGTGGCCACGTCCTGACTGCATGATGTTGTCACGAGGACATCATAGTGCCACCAAATGAGGCAAGACAGACAACCAAACAGGTTTGGGGCATATCCAGTGATATTCATGGATATCATAGCTCTGGGGAACCAATTCCCTTGCACCTCCTAAAAAATTGGATTTAAGGGGAGTCAGGAATCCTCATACTTCGGTTGAATGTTGACTTTTACATTTAATCTAAAGCTCTTTCTATGGCTATTTGCATTCTCTGCAAACTGTTTATTTAAATAGACCCTTTATTATACTTCTGATTCACACCCAAACCTATGGAACCCATCAACAAAAGAAAAGATGGACAAATCATTTAATTTTGATGAATTCATTTTAAATTGTATTTATTAATAAAGATGGGGGCTTTATTTGAAATAAGGAAAGATAGTGGTAGTGCAATGAATAATGCAATAAGTACCACTTGTGAGGAAACAGCTTTTCATCTTTCAGGATCTAGGACTTCTGAAACATGGTCCAGCTCTTTGCTGAGTCAAGCTAGTTTTCAACCAAGAGAAGGTGACTAATGAGTCTCCACTGGAACATCCTACTAAAGCAATCAAGCTGTAGGTAGAGAAGACTTGTGTTAAGAGAAAGTAAAATAAACTTTCAGTCTTATTAGAAAGCTGGACCTGTCTCTTGAGTCCTGTTACAGAGTTTGATCTTCTACATTTAAAATTTCTGCCTTTGGCAGCCTGTAGGTGCTTCAGAGTTGGAAAGTGAGCGTTTGGTGGATTTTTTAAATCTCAAGTGTCCTGTATTTGATGAGTCACCGTTTGCCATTGTGGCAGAGGTTGCAGGAATGGCTTGGTTCAGGGATGAATTAGGGTCACGAGAGCCGGTTTGTCTGGAGATTTTCTTGCCAATTTTCTTCCGTCTGGTAGTATTAAGAACACTGTGTGAGTCGTTACCAGAGGTGTGCTGGGGAGTAATGGCAGGGTTCACTGCAGGCACAGGCATGGACATGGCCATATGTCCTGTTTGCATGTTGGTGTCATTAGGTGGTTGCATTGTAGGCACACTTAGGTCAATAATTGGTGCTTGCAAAGGTACTAGTTGGCTCAGAGACAAACTGTCAGGTTGTCCATTGAAGACCCCGACTGTCGGGTTTGGAAGGGCACCAGCACTAGATGGATAGCCAGTGTGTGGGCCTGGCCCCAGCATGTGCTGGGATTGTATAAATTGACTGTGGGAGTCTTGGATGCTGGAAATAATGCCACCGTGTGGCACATGGGCAGGAGCAGAATGGTACTGGTTCACTACAGAGAGGTTTGTCAAGACGGTTGGAGATGGAAAGATCGAAGCCTCTGACGGATGCGTTATATCCATCATGTTATCGTCATCGTCCATGGACGGTTTTAGTGGTGGGGAAGAGCCACTTCTGTGAACAATGACAACTGCTTGGTCCATGTTGGGAAGGACCGGAGGAGCAGAAGATATCGGAATAGAGGGATTGTACATTTGATGTACAACAGGGATCACATTGACAGAGTCATTAGGTGGTTGCATTGTAGGCACAGTTAGGTCAACAACTGGTGCTTGTAAGGGGACTGGTTGGCTCAGAGAGAAATTATTGTCAGGTTGCCCACTGAAAACCCCAAGAGTGGGGTGTGGAAGGGCACCAGCACTAGATGCATGGCCAGTATTTGGACTTGGCCCCTGCATGTGCTGGGATTGCATAAACTGATTGTAGGAGTCCTGATTGCTAGAAATAGTGTCACTCTGTAGCACATGGGCAGGAGCAGGATGGGCCTGGTTCACTACAGAGAGGTTGTTTGTCAAGATGGGAGGAGATGGAAAGATCGAAGCCTCTGATTGATGCGTTATATCCATCATGTTATCGTCATCGTCCATGGATGGTTTTAGTGGTGGGGAAGCGCCACTTCTGTGAACAATGACAACTGCTTGGTCCATGTTGGGAAGGACTGGAGGAGCAGAAGATATCGGAATAGAGGGATTGTACATTTGATGTACAACAGGGATCACATTGACAGAGTCATTAGGTGGTTGCATTGTAGGCACAGTTAGGTCAACAACTGGTGCTTGTAAGGGGACTGGCTGGCTCAGAGAGAAATTGTCGGATTGCCCACTGAAAACCCCTAGTGTGGGGTCTGGAAGGGCACTAGCACTAGGTGGATAGCCAGTATTTGTTGCAGGAGTGGCCTGGTTCAGGAATGAATTAGTGTCACGAGTGCCTGTGCGTCTGGAGATTTTCTTGCCAGGAGTTTTCTGTCTGGCAGTGTTGCAAACCCCAGAAGAGTCACTACAAGAGGTGTGCTGGGGAGTGATATCAACGTTCACTGCGGGCACAGGCATTGGCGTGGCCATATGTCCTGCTTGCAGGTTGGTGTCACTAGTCACAGTTAGGTCAATAATTGGTGCTTGCAAAGGTACTGGTTGGCTAAGAGACAAACTGTCAGGTTGTCCATTGAAGACCCCGACGGTGGGGTGTGGAAGGGCCCCAGCACTAGATGCATGGCCAGTGTGTGGGCTTGGCCCCGGCATGTGCTGAGACGGTATAAACTGATAGTGGTAGTTCTGCATGCTAGAAATAACGTCACTGTGTGGCACATAGGCAGAAGCGGGATGGGCCTGGTTCACAGCAGAGAGGTGGTGTGTCAAGATGGGAGGAGATGGAAAGATCGAAGCCTCTGAAGGATGTGTTATATCCTTCATATGATGATTGTCCATGGATAATTTCATTGGTGGGGAAGAGACATTTCCATGCATAAGGACAGCTGCTTGGTCCATGTTGGGATGGACCAGAGGAGCAGAAGATATTGGAAGAGAAGGATTGTGCACTTGATGCACAAGAGGGATCACATTGACAGAGTCATTAGGTGGTTGCATTGTAGGCACGGTTAGGTCAATAACTGGTGTTTGTAAGGGCACTGGTTGGCTCCGAGAGAAATTGTCGGATTGCCCACTGAAAACTCCAAGTGTGGGGTCTGGAAGGGCACTAGCACTAGGTGGATAGCCAGTATTTGTTGCAGGAGTGGCCTGGTTCAGGGATGAATTAGTGTCATGAGAGCCTGTGCGTCTGGAGATTTTCTTGCCAGGAGTTTTCTGTCTGGCAGTGTTGCAAACACCGTAAGAATCACTACAAGAGGTGTGCTGGGGTGTATTATCAGCATTCACTGCAGGCACAGGCATGGACATGGCCATATGTCCTGTTTGTATGTTGGTGTCATTAGGTGGTTGCATTGTAGGCACAGATAAGTCAATAATTGGTGTTTGCAATGGTACTAGTTGGCTCTGAGACAAACTGTCAGATTGTCCATTGAAGACCCCAGTGGTGGGGTATGGAAGGGCACCAGCACTAGATGCATGGCCAGTGTGTGGCCTTGGCCCCGGCATGTGCTGGGATTCTATAAACTGATTGTAGGAGTTTTGTTGGTTAGAAATAATGTCACTGTGTGGCACATGGGCAGGAGCAGGATGGGCCTGGTTCACTACAGAGAGGTTGTTTGTCAAGATCGGAGGAGATGGAAACATAAATGCCTCTGAAGGAGGTGTTGTATCCATCATGTTATCGTCGTCCATGGATAATTTCATTGGTGGGGAAGAGCCACTTCCGTGAGTAAGGACAACTGCTTGGTCCATGTTGGGAAGGACCGGAGGAGCAAAAGATAGCGGAAGAGAAGGATTGTGCATCTGCTGCACAAGGGGGATCACATTGACGGAGTCATTAGGTGGTGGCATTGTAGGCGTGGTTAGGTCAATAACTGGTGTTTGTAAGGGGACTGGTTGGCTGAGAGAGTAATTATTATCAGGTAGTCCACTGAAAACCCCAAGTGTGGGGTGTGGAAGGGCACTAGCACTAGATGCATGGCCAGTATTTGGGCTGGGTCCCTGCATGTGCTGAGACTGTATAAACCGATTGTGGGGGTCTTGCTTGCTGGAAATAGAGTCACTGTGTGACATTGTGTGCTGTGGTTGCACAACAGAGATGGCATTGGTGGAATAGTGATCATTTTGAGGGACCAAGGTTTGGGAAGAACAGGACCCCCTGGTAGGAGGTAGGTTGGTGGGGGCTGGCCCCATCCCAAGTTGCCCCTGGTACAGACTGCAGGGTATTTGG